ATATATCGATATCGATATCGATATATATATATATATTATAAGGTCCGGAGCCTCGGAGTCCCTGACTCCTGAAGACATTCAAGTTGATTGGCTCGGCGGCTACTGGAAGCTGCCCCAGGCAGACATGAAGCACGGCTGCAGAAAGCCCCTAGGAGCAGTGTCCCAGCCTTGCAAGCGCTCGCCGCGATCTGCTCAGGACCTCGGACCATGTAAGGGCGCGGCTGATCAGCCAAGCTAAAACCGGCACGGCTGTGGTGAAGCGCTACATTCTGACGGAGGCGGAGCCAGCAAAAATTCTGCGTCCTGCGTCCTACAATACCTATTCCAGTTTGCTAGTAACTGCCAGTAGAGACTCTGTCTTGAAGCCAGGTCTACGCTGCCCTCGGCCCCGCCCTGCAGCAGCTCTTTGGGGCCGCAGAGTTCACGCCTGAGCGGCTGCAGGAGCAGTACAAGAGTCAACCGGAGCCTCGGCGAGCTTCTGTCGAGCCGTCCCAGTTCCCATTTTGGGGCCGGTAGCTGTACTCGACCGGGAAAACATCTCAGGAACTTGCCGCCTACCTCATTGCGAGACATGCCATGACGATGAGTACATCGGAGCAGCGCTTGCGTGACTTGCGTGTCTTCTTGGCATTGTGGTGGACATCTAAGTAGTAGGACTTGGGCCTAGAAGGCAGGCACGTTTGATGTTTGCTAAGGTGACGTCGAAGCATCTCTGACAAGATTTACGGCGAGCCCGGCCAAATCTTGTGTCGCGTCCTTTGTGCATCGTGCGAATGGTGTGCTGCTGGCTCGCGGATCTGCACCGGATCGTTGGAAGGATGCGCAGCATGGTTTCAATACGGATTATGGGGTTGTTCGTTGCTTTGCATTGAGCCTCTTGAAGTCAGCATGGCTGATTCTCGATCTCAGGCAGGAACACTTCGTGAAGGCTTTGGAATCCTTTCCGTCAAACTCCAATGCCCTCTTCCTCCTCGGCATGGGAGCACTGGAAATGGGTTTCTTGGAGAGTGCAGTGGAACTGATGAACAAGAGCCTTCTTCTGGATCCGGATTTTCGTGCGCCCTATGTGCCACTTGGCTCGGACCGACAAGTGTGTCGGCGTCCAGCACGGAACTTTTGTCAACACAGGAACTTGCATCAGATGCACAAACCATACTCGTCAACAACCCTTTGCCTCTATTGCCTTGAGGAATTTGGGCGTGGCCTACTTGCGGCAAGCCGCGCAGAGTTCCGAGAACTCGCAGCGCCTGCAGGACTAGACTGCAACGAAGCTTCTTTTCAAGCATGTGCAAAGCTACCTTGTCGTACGGAATCACATTTCAGACCTGAAGGTTTGCTCAGCTTGCGTAAAGCTCAATGCTTTTTCGAACGCCAATTCGCGGGAATGAGAGAGTCGGCTTTTGTGGTCCATTAAAGTCAAATATATAGTATTAGATCGCAGGAATCAAAAGGGGATACTGTTCAGCTGCAGGATCTGTACTTCCGCGTCATCGAGGTGTCGGAGTCCTGCCTTGCGCGCCACCCTGCGTCGCCTCAATGCCACTACCACATCGGTGCCGTGATTGTACTATGGAAGGATGATCGTTGTGGTTTTCTGTGACTGTGGCCGTGTTGACACATGAACAACTTCTCTGGAAGTGTGAAGCTCTGGGATGGTCACCCTGTGAGGTGTTGCGTCCACCCAGCTCGCGTTGATGCTGCAAGCACACGCTGCACACGCCACCAACGGCGACAGCCTCGACAGCCTCCGCTTCAGGGAGTACCGAAGTCGGGCACGTGCTGAGCTCGAAGAAGCGAGGCCGGCAGCCGCGAGGTGCCTGCAGCGGAAGAGTCCCGTGCTGTGCCGTGCCGTGCGCAGGAGAAGTCCAGAGGCGCATCGACGGCTTAGCGAAACCCGGCTTATCGTTTCCACCATCCCCGAAACCAGAATCTCCTTCCCGTGCTAAGGAATGGCAGGAGGCGCAAGCCAGGGGAAAGCCGAAGAAGCAACAGGCGCCCTGGCTGGCTGTGGACGACAAGATGCTCCAAGCGATGGAGGTCGACATGACTCTCGGCTCAAGTCTACTTTTCTTCATCCTTCGGCCCCTGCACTTTTGTTGACATCCCATGTTTCTTAAGGATGCGTGGGCAGACTTTAAAGCCCATCAAGCTTCCGGACTTCATCGGGTGGCGTTTGCCATTCTGGCGCGTATAGTGCCGCCGTGGATGCACGCTGAGTGATGGATGCGAAATTCCACTGTGCTGCGAGTGCAACCTTAGATCAGTCTAGAGTGCAGCTGAAAACTCTTTCAATTCTTTCGTGTAAATGAACCCGGGCCCCTGGAATTGAAGGTTGTTTGTGAACGGCCGCCCAACAAGAGCATTTAAGACATTCGCCTTCTGGGAGCCCTTCTCTGGCTGAGCACAGCCACGTTCCAGATGAGTTTTAGAGCGTTAGCGTCACTTATTTTCTGAGGTCTTTCATGGATCCTGAAATTCGGGAAACATGCAGTGCAAACTTGCCGGAGGACTTCGACAAAGTTCTTGCTTGTGGAGGGCTTGACTGTGCCAAACACCCGACATGTCAAGACTGTAACTCTGCGCAGCCAATGGCCCCTTTCAGCCGTTCCTGCAATGAAGACGATTGGTCGGATTTGCTGTCTGTTGGACGCTTGCCAGCAGATTGAATCGCACACGTCCAATTAAGCCAATAACAGCAAAGTCTTGGCCATAGCCGTCCAAGGTGGTGGTGTCCGAAGCAACTGCATATGGCCTTGGCCTTACCTACCTTTGCATCTTTTCGAAGGATCCACCTTCCGGACAAGAACTGATGGCTGCTGCATGCTGAAATTTGCACCCCAAGGCAGAAGTTTAAGAGCACCCCCACCGGCACTGGTGGCAGTCCGGACGGCAGAACTCCACAAAGTGTGCGAAGCGTGCGGTTTCTTGGCTGTCGTAGTCACGTGGTCGTATGTGGTCGTGCCGTGCGTTTGCAGCAGCAGTTGAAAAAGACTTTGGAAGTCCACTGTGGCTGTGACAAAGGCGATGCGGGCTTGAACACACTCCAGAAATCTTCGGAGTACTGCGATGAGATGCACGATCAATGTGCTCCCTACCTGTTTTGTGGCAAGAGGTGCATGAGGCTGATAGCTTTGTGCTCGGAAAAGCAATTCTTGCCAGATCTTGCCAGGCACATGTTGCCTGAAGGCAGTAAAGGCGAAGTATAGCGAGCCACTTAACAGCAAGCAGTGGCTCGATGCCTGCATTCGTGTAGCATCGTGGTGCAGACGAAATGCCACCGTGCAGGATTTGCTCCAAGTACATGGGCTTCGGTGGCTGTATCAACGGCATCAAGGCAAGGTTCGTACTAGCAGGAACTGATGGCAGGTTCCATCGGATACTGGTACTTTGTGCCTGAAGGCTGCTATCGAGGATAAGGACAAGGAGTGCAAAGAGAAGCAGAAAATTGCAGCTTGATTGAAGCTGCCGAAATATGACACTGACGTAGGATCTTGGCTTTGGCCGCGCCCGCCCAGGCTGATGCTTTGAAAGACCAGCAGAAGCAGAAGATCGAGGATGCTGTGGGCTCCGACATTTTCGATCTCCACAGTGCGAAGGCGCGAAATGGCCTTCGATGTAGCCCTGAACATGACATGAGCTTGTCTGGAAGAATAAGTGCTTTTCTGGTGGTTCGTTTTGCGCGAGATTGACGGCAAGACTGTACTGTTCAGCCTTGGTCTGTCTCCAAAGGATCAGGGGAAGATCGTGGACACGCCGTACAAGGACGAGCGCTTCGGGCTGCACTCAGATCCTGTGAGGCCTTGTTTCTCTCTTTTTTTGGCTGATCGGCTGATCCCAGGTGCGCTGCCTACAATTCGCCCAACTGCAAGGATCAGGAAGCGCTCTGTGGCTTTGACTCTGGTTGCGATCGAGAGCTCTGGAAATGGACCTCAGCGACCCAGCCGCAAAGAGCTGCAAAAGAGCTTCGCAAGCCCGGACAGCAGCTGAATGGGCACTGGCCAGGAGCTACAGCGAGTGCGGGGCTTGGATGCATCCAGCGTGCCTTGTTGTTCGATGCGCCGGCAGATGCTGGTGACCGCTTGGTGGCAGGTTGAAGACTGGCAAGGCATGCTGGACAACATACCGTGTTTCTGAGCGCACTCCCATGACGAGAAAGCAGCCTTCAAACGTTTCACGAGCCCAGCATTGCAGGTCGTCAAACTTGATCATGTTAAGTCTTCTGCAAAGCTGAGCTGCATTGAGATTTAAAGCACCTTGCCGGAGCTCCAAACTGGCGAACTTGCCGTGGCGCAGCCTGCGAGCGGGCCATCCAGAAAAGGTTGGAGAGCGGCTCAAGCTGCTAACACCCCGAATCCTAAACCTATAAGACCGTAAAGACTGAGGCCCTCGGGTCGGTTTGGGATGTCGAATGGGCTCAGAAAGCGTCTTCAAGTCGCAGCTGTAGTTGCACTGCTGAACTTCTGGGAAGCCCGGCAGAGGGGAGCCGAGAGGGAAAGCTGCAAGATGGGCTTACCAGGTGCTGGAAGCGTTCCTCACCGGCAAAATTCGGGTTGCAGGCTTTTGCAGGCAGCTCATCACAGAAAGAGTGTCAGCCCTGGCCTGCCCACGTCATGCCACGTCTATCATGTTGCTGAGACGAAGGGCTCGCAGGGTGGGAACTGAATCGATACTCACCACCTCACAACTGCCCTTGAAGCTTTGCACCCTCTATGAACGTATTTTCCTAGTGACTGGAGGAACGAACGACACACATTTTTCGAATTCCGAACGCTTTGCTTCCAATGTTGACGCGCATGTATTGAAGCATTCGCAGGCTCCGGCAAAGGCTTCGAAATACTCCTGCCGTGGCCTTGTGCAGATGGGCGCGTCCCAGCGGCCGATTCCATCGCATCACCATGCCGGGCTACTTCTTTGCATATAGCAGCTGCAGAGAAGCCCTGCCGGCACGACGCGTGGGCCAAGGACACCACTCCTAGGGCCAGCCATGATTCCTCGTGGCCATGGCAGCCCGGCAGAAAGCACCAAATCATCCGATGCTCAACGCGTCTAACCGAGTGAGGATGCATCCGTCCCACCTCCACCGACGGTTCCAGAGGAAGGGCTCTGCTGCAAGTGTGTCCAACAAGCCTCCTGTATGGGGACAGACTCTGTGCTTGCACGGCTTATCGCCAATGCTCCTGATGAAGTCGTTTGCCACGCGCTTCACAACGCAGGCATGGCTGCCCAACAAGCTTCGAAAGCGTCAAGGCTGCCCGCATCGGGACTATCTTTCGCAGCACTGACTACTTGTAGGTCGTGGAGGGCCCTTCGCAAATCGTTGACCTAGCAGCCTGGTCAGGCCTGCTGGATCACACCGACGTGTGCCGGGCTTCGATGGCCCTGCAAAGCCTATGTTGGATGGACGAGAGCCTGTTTGCAGCAAGGCCTGCCCGGCAGAAGGTGCCTTTCATCCACTGGGGCTACAGGCCGCCTCCCGCAGGCACAGCTGAGACAAGGCCCCGGTTCCCCTTGCGACCCGGCTCTCGCCAGGGCCCTGGGACCTGATCCGAAGCATTTTTCGGATCCACAACGAGACAGGCAGCTGGGCGGCAGTCCCAAGGACAGCCAAAGACGTGGGGCAGCGGCTGCTGCAGTGCTGCTGAGGTAACATCTGGTCTCACTTGATTGGCGCTGGCTACTTCGCGCGAGCCTGAGGAACAGAATCCAGCCCCGGTGCACCACAGTGCTCTACCTTCATGTCCAAGCCTGGAAGGCTTGGGTTGGGGTAGATGCAGCCCTGGGTTTCTCGAGAGCGACGAGCTTTGAGCAGCAGGTGGGCCCGTGGGTTGGTGTGGAGTGTAAGCGTGGTGCAGCTTATCCTGCCACGCACGGAATGGTTTGGATCGCCCGCCTGTATTTCTGGCTTATCTCAGAAGCCTGAACAGATGTAGGTATACGGGTATGCATCGGTAAATCAAATCTCTTCTGACACCGAGCCGCTGAACACGACCTTGCAGCTAGACTGGCATTTGTGAATTCCGAGAGCACGAGTGCGTCCCAGCAGTTTCGTTACCAGCCATGGCTGGTGGGGCGTTTTCGATGCAGCTCCTTGCCTCGAAGCGCACTAAAGTTCTAAAGTTTGAGCGGCTCAGAATGAGGTTTAGCGTCGAGGAGTTCAGGTCTCCAAATTTTCGGGGCAACTGGGGAGAAAAGCCCGCTTTGGGACCCAGAACTTCTGAAACCCTACACGCTCAAGCCTCAGACCTTCTGCAGCCTGGAATCCTTCATCCGGCAGCCTGAGACGCGTGCACCAACCTTAGATCTAGCGTGAAATTTAAATCCGCTAACTTGAAGCCCATAAGCCTGTAATTGTTATATCAACAGACATGAACCTTTCGTTCTGGACTTGAAATCCTCAACAGCTTCGACAACTTCGGCCATGGCGTCTGTTTGCTGTCGACTGGAAATGTATCTAACAAGCTGGGTGCTCAAGTGCACATCCCCGTGAGGAAAGTTCTGCATGGCAGAGCCATGAATATGATACTTCCGTGCGTTCTGATTCTGTTGGCGATGGCGCTTTTGATCTGGTGCCACGCTACTGCGCTTCTTTGCAGCACGATGCCGATGTTGTTTTTCTACAAGGTTCCCAACATCCACACCGTGCATTGCTGATATTCAGGAAAGATCCAAACGATGGCTCTTCCACAGTATTTCTTGGCTTAATAGCTCCTTGGCATGGGATGTTCAGGAGTACGGCCAGCAAGCCTCGATCCCCGAAATGTGTGGGTGGCCCTGCAGCACAGGTGATACAGATGCTGCCCTTGCTCTTCCTGGAGTTGAGAATAGCGCGCTACACTCAGCAGCAGAGAGCACTTGCCCATGAGGATCCGACCCATGCCGCTCAGGTCGTGTCCAGATCCGGAAGCGATGCTGGCGATGTTTGGCACCAAGGCCACGTGACAATGGCTCATGGAACCATCCGGTTCAGTTCGGAGAGTAATCCTTGGGGCTCATCGTTGAACTTTAGCATCTGGGGTCTGAAGGTACTCCTCCTCCATGGATGCTTCATGACGCTTCGAGTCTGCGTGCCCCAGCTTGAGAAAGCAAGCGGCTAACGAGCCGCAAGACGCTGCAGGAACTGAAGGCCTCAACTTTAGTGCACTCCGGTGTCCCAGGCCTGGCCCTTGATGGAGGTCGGGATCGGGTGGTCCAATCTCCTCGGCACGATTGCGGTGGTCGGAGTGCCGCCTGGCTGCTCTGAGAGTCCAGGCCGACCCCGAAACTTCGCCCTCCTCTGCTAGGCTGCATTCCGGCTTCCGCTTCAAGTGGAAAGTGGAATCTGTCACCGCCGCTTGCCTTGAGCTATGTGAGCACCATGTGAGCTGTATGCAGATTGACCTTGAGCCCAGCTTGCAATAGTCAAAAGTCGGTCTCAAGCACCAGAATCCAACTGTCGTCATCGTGGTGATCCAGGAGCACATGGATGTACTGTGCCTCGTTGTCTTGGCGGGCATTGGAGCTCTGCTGACGGAGGTGTTCGAGTATGACACGCCACTGAACTCAATCATCCTCAATTAGTTTTGCCATCCTTGCGTTGGACTTGTAGTCTTTGAGAAGGGTGCTTGTATCAAGAAGGATCTGTCTTGTGACTTGTTTAGCTTTGAGGCCATACCTATTGCTTGAACACACGATATTTACGGCTTCGAGCTACATCGAAGTCGTTGGCTTTGTGCCCGCTGTGTGGACCCTTGGCTCGAGCTCCGCACCACCACCTCAGTCTTCGCTGGATACGATCCGATGTTGACACTCCACTTGAGAGACCTCAGGATGGTGCACCAATCTGCCAAGAAGAACGACGATGCAGCTCCGATTGATAGGGCTTCTAGAGTGCTTGCTACAGTAGCCGTGGATGCAGCCTCAGATTGACCTCTCCGTCTCAGGTGACCCGGACGGGTGGTGTTGACCTGCAGCGGCAAGCAATCTTCTTCTTTGTGTCCAGCCTGCGCCAGTGTCGGAACGGGGCACGCTTTGCGTGCTATTGCGTGCTAACATGCGCCAATCACGGCACGACACGACAGCTGTATGACACCGACAGCTTTAATCAATTGAACAAGTCCCTGCTCTCTGAGTGTCTCGCTCGCACTCTCTCTCCCTCTCTCTCTCTCTCTCTCTCTCTCTCTCTCTCTCTTCTTCGCTCTTGCTCACGGTCATGCACAGGCTCGTCAAAGTGCCGTTTGTTCGCCAACGTGAGACTTCCGTGCACGCACACACAGGCAACGAAGCTCATGCATGCGGTTTACAATTCTTAGATGCAAGATGCATAGCCTGATTCAGGTTTCCATGAGGTTGTTGGCGGCAAGAGTCATGTCAGATGCAGGTGTTCTGAGTTTCTTGTTGTAAAGTCATTGAGCGCATCATATCTGCTGAAGGTTGTCTTCGCACAGTAAACTCAATGACGTTAGTCGTTGGTCAGTGGAACAGTCAAATTTCTCCATCATGCAGGTGGTTCGTTTCTTTGCTTCCGTGCGTGTGGAGGGCTGTGTGAGAGCTGACTTGTGGTTGGTGTGTTGGTGTGTACACGTGCCACGCAGCATCACAATGCTTGACTTGCTGAGGTATTCTTGGTAGGCATCTTGCCTGCATCAAGCGCATGTCGTCGTACTTTCAATCTGGAGTTGGTTCAGTAGCCGGACAAGTTTCTGCTGTGCTGCAGCGCAGCCAGTCTCGCCTCTGTCTCCGCATGAACGTGGCATCGTGCGCGTGGCAGACCGCTTGCACATGAGCCATGCTGCACATGAGTTATTTAACTTCCGACAGACTTCAAGACTGCCTGCTGGTCAGGCTTTTATGTCTTTGAGGATTTGGTCACAGCATGGAAGATCAGCCATTTGTCAGGAGCCTCGTGCTGTTTGTGACATGCAGTATGCTTGCTGGCAACCTCGTGTCGAACAGATCGGCCACTTTTCCAAGAGGACTTGCCGCTGCTGGCCACATCGTCCACTTCCTCATGCTCTCACATTTTGCCAGTGCTTTGACTTAGTTAGCCCGGCCCTGGTTGAGTTGCCCGCAGACATCGGATCACTCCTCTTTGATTAAAAGCACATACGAAGGTGAAATCAGAAAAAGGCAGGTAGGAGCATTCACACAGCTTCGCAAAGCCTTCTTAGGTTTTCTTCTGCTGCACATTTCCAGTGGTACGAGCCGACTGCAGTGAGGCTTTAGGTTTCTCATTCGCAACATATCTCGGAAATAAAGTAGACGACAGTGTCCCTTGTGGAAGCTGACCAGCATGTTCAATTCCGTTAGTGCAGATGCTTAATGATTAATGTGCTTTCACGCGCCGCGAATCGTTGGAGCGTTGAGAGCATGTACTTGCAGGAGCTGCATGCAGCCTGTGGAACTACTGACTAGCAAGCTACAAGATGCAACCCTTAGTCAGGGCTCTCAGGCTTGAACATGCTCTCCTGCATTACTGCCGGTGTCACAGACAGTCCGTGCTCAACGCACACTGTCGTGAACCGCTTCACGGTGAAGTGCAATGATTTTATATACCGCCGAGCTTGGGCTCAGGCAAAATGCTCTGATTGGAGGGATGTTACATACCCTGCATTCATTGCTGGGCTTCTTTGGTGTAGTCGATGCAGCGAATGCCTTTGGTAGGCCACAGCCCTTTGGATCTTTATTTTGGTCGCCCGGCCCCTACTGCGCTGAAAAGCACGAGCTAGCGAGTCTTGCAGGAGTGTAGGATGTTGTGATGTTTTTTGGCCGACGCCAGGTAGCCAGTGCTTATTGCTGTGTTTGTTCCGTCGTCTTTCACCTCTGCTCCTGCCACGCTCTTATTGCCAACTGAGCCGCCACTTTGCTTCCACTACCGTGATCGCTGAGGTACTCATGTCGGTGTCAGAGACTGCACGCCAGCGCCTCAACCAACTGTTTGGTCTGGAAACCTTTTGAGGCAGCTGAAACGGAATGCGAGTTCGCCATATTCGGCGTAAGGCAGGTTGTTGTGGAGGTCAGATCGCTTGCGAAGTACTCGCGGCGACGGCCGACATATGTTTGCTATGGAGTTTCAGGCGTGAGCACACAGTTGCAGACGCCAAAGCTCACGCCTCCCCAGGGTCAAAACACGACATTTGCCGAATAATATGTTATGCGGCACATCCCGAACAACTCATCAACCTCGGGGTTCGTGATGCACTCGGAAATTTGCGCACGCACGCACACACACACACAGAGAGAGAGAGAGATATATATATATATACATATATACACACACACACACACCGACCGAGCTCACTTGTCATTCTGATGCCTTGGCCTGTGCAGTGGCTCAGGTACAAGATGGATCTGACGGGCATTGTGGTCTTGATCGCTGCATCGTGCGCACCATGGATGCCTTTCTGGGATTTGTGACTGTGGGTCTTTGCGGGCCATGAGGTACTTCACTGGCATCGCCCGCGTCCCAAGCGAGGGCGGAATTTTTCAGCTCATGAGGATCGCCAAGCAAATCAATATGGAAACTGCAGGCCCTTGGCTACCGTTGCTATCCCGCCTGGGCCGCATCTGTCTTTTGCTGTTCTATAAAGGTGACCAGGTGTCTGAGCTGTCTCTGGCAAGGCCTTGCGCAGCTTCTATCTCGCATATGCTGCCTTGATCTCTGTAGCGCTGGCAGTGCCTCGCTGGCGTGCTTTGGGTTTGCCCAGACAGCAGGAACCGATGACCGCTTGGCTCGTTACCACTATGCCGGACTCGCGCAGCATCGAAGCCATCACAGGGCATGATCTGAGAACGTCATAAGCTGTAAATCCGGGCACGTTGGTCAACTCAGTGCATAGCATCACCCCTCCACTCGGGCCATGATTTCACCTGGCAAAGTCCCGGGTGGAGCTGTGAGGGATCTGCAGCCGGCGCCCCGAGCACAGAACCGCAAGCTCTTGAATGTGGGAAGGTCGCGGCGGGACTGGCTGCATCTAGCCAGCGCCGCAGGTTTCGGCCTAGGCTTCGTGGGCCAGCGGGTGAGAGCCAGCAACATCGGCAAGCAGACAGTCATACACACAGTCGGGGGGAAAGAGGTGGCGATCCCAGGATCGAATCCAGACACAATGGTAGCCCACGCGTTAGACAAGACGGTGTACCCTGCACAGTGGCCTTACACAGCCAGAGATTTCTTTCGGCTGGATGGCAGTGACGATGCGGAGTTCTATGCTGAGCCAAAGCTTGTGAAGCATTTAGAGGACCAGACGCTTGCCGCTCTCACGCGTTTCTATGCGGCAGTTTTTCCGAAGGATCAAGCCTTCGATGCCTTGGACATCTGCTCGTCCTGGATCTCTCATTATCCCAAAGAGCCCAAGCCCAATCGCCTTGCGATCACCGGAATGAATGCGGAAGAGCTGAAGCGCAATGTGCAGGCGACAGACTGGACGGTACAGGACCTGAACGCGACCCCAAAGCTGCCATATGGTGATGCCGAGTTCGACGTTGTCACCAACACGGTGTCGGTGGACTACTTGACCAAGCCACTTGAGGTCTGCAGCTCTGTTAGTGGGGCTACTTCGTAGTCTTCTCGGCCCACAGAATTCTTGTCAGCGTTGCTTCCTGCTGTGCTTCAACTCGGATTGCCTCAGGTCTTCACGGAAATTGGCCGCGTCTTACGACCTGGAGGATTGGCCATCGTGGCTTTCTCAAACCGCTGCTTCCTGTCAAAGCTGGTCGCCATCTGGAGCGTGGGTGACCCCGATGACCGCGCGGAAGTGGCAGCGAGCTACTTCCATTTTGCAGGCTGCTTCGGTGATCCTGAGGTTGTTGATCTCTCGCCGCCCAACACAGACCCCCTTTATGTGGTCTGTGCACTTAAGAAGTGATGTGGCGCCAGCGCAAGGCAGAGCGGGTAAAGTCGCATTGCTCTTTTGCGTGGGATTTCAGTCGATGTGCCACGTTACAAGCTTTCTTCAGAGCTGCCAGGCCGCTCTTGAAGCCAGAGCTGGTGAAGGAGGGACTTTAGTGCCTCTCCCGTTTCCTTGTGCCTTCCTCATAAGTCATAATGACGAGGATTTGGCACAGCACATGGTGCTGTGCGTAGTCCTTGGGCTCGTTCCTGCCGCCTGTGCCCCAGACACAGGTCCGTACCCCGACGTCCACTCCGAGTGCAGTGCCAAATGCCGAGGTGCATTTCCTCTGTGCAGCCACTGGGAAGGACCCTGGCCATCGTGTTGAAGTCTTGTGCAATCTTGCGCACCGTGTCCGCCGTGTAGCGTTGCCGTCCTTGAATGGATCCCAGCTAAAGCCATAGAAGGCCGCAGACATCGACACCATGATTAAACTAACCTCCTTCAGCAAGTAGCATCACATGACGGCCTTCCGGCTTCGATGAGCCTGTCTCTGCGAACAACTCAGGGTGTTTGCTTGCTTAGCAGTGTGGAGCAGTGTGCGTGAGTGCCGGAGAAAGGCCCGTGGTTGGTGACTGAGGCAGGAAGAGTGGAGCCCCGAGCTCCTGAATGAACTGCAACGCGCATGCGCCCAAGCTGCCCTCATATTCTCGCAGTCGCATGCTTCCGTTTCCTTCCGATCTTGCCGTTGTTTACATGGCTTGTTCAGTCTGCATGCCGGCTGCAGCATTCAACTTAAGTTGCGTGCTTTAGCTAGACAAGTGATGGCTGTCGTTGGGGAAAACCACCCGACGCCAATAACCCTTGATTTGAAGAGCCCTCCTGTCGATGTAAATGCTCCACTGGATGCGCGGGACATCGAATTGGTGCAGCAAACGTTTGCACGGTAACCTGGCAGACTGGCATGGGGGGTTTGCAGACTTGAGAACTCGAGGTCACCTTTTAGCGGGGATTTCAGGACTCCTGGAATTGGGGAAACTCTCAGCTCTTTTTAACTTTCCGCTCCTGGGCCGGGCTACCAGTGTTTCAGTGTCTAACTCTAACGGCAACCGAATTAGGACTCCAAGAAGGGCACCTAAAAAACTGCTCTAGCGAATGCGAGAAAGGCGACGAGGGGTTTCTTGAAGTTCTTCAATGGAACCTGACGGCGAGGGGAGGGTCTGCTCCCGGTTACCCCTGCAACCCACAAGCCCTGCAGCACTTCCGCCGCACGGCTCGCAACGTTGCTGTCTAAGGGTGGCGATGCTAGGTTCGAACACCATCGGGCGGATCCTGTTTATGAACATTTTCAAGATCGCCCCGGGTGCTGTGGAGCTGTTCCCCTTCGCAAAAGGCGATGCGCACATGTGGAGACCTGGAAGTCCACTGGAGGTGCATGCTCTGAAGGTGGTGGAGACCGTGGCCACGGCCGTGTCCCTCTTGAAGGACTTGGACACTTTGGTGCCTGTTTTGCAGAGCCTGGGTCTGAAACACGTGGGCTACGGGGTCGAGAAGGCCCACTACGACGTGGTAGGCCAGGCCCTCATCGCCACCTTGGAAGTGGCCCTCTCGCGCCACTTCACTGAGCCAGTGAAGAATGCCTACTTAAAGGTTTGGACGATTGTCAGGGACACCATGATCAGTGACAACTATGATGGCTGATTACATGGAGCAGGGGTCAATGGAATGCGGGCGTAGGGTGTGCGGGATGACAAACATGGCCTGACACCTCGTCAAGCATTTGGAATTGAAGCTGTCTCACCCCTCTTTTCTGTTCCGTTTCACAGTTGCAAGGTGTGTTTAAAGGTTTGACACGCAAAGGGTGGCGAGCACACGATCCATATATTGCCTCGATGTTTTTATGAAAAGAACTCGGTGGCTAACAAGAGAGCGTCGCCACCCCCATCATTGCTGGTCTTGGACTTTTCCAGCGCCAGCCCCGAGAACGCCCAGAGCTTGTCTAGCGTGGCAAGGGCGGGTGCGGGGGGTGGCCTTTGTCCCGGATCAGGGAGAGGCGATGGGATGTTGATGCAGGCAGCAGAAAGGCATGTCTTACCGCGGTGACGGATTGGCAGATTCCAGACTGCAGCTCTCAAGTGGACGTCGCTCGGTTGCTTCCAGGCGGTGCCTGTGCTGGAAAGCGGGTCCTTGGACTATGAGGACAGAGCCTCCGACTTTGACGGGCTCGGTTGGCACAGTCATTCCACTGCAGTGATGTGGGCTTGTCGGTCGTTCTTGGAGGATGTGCAGAATGCGTTGCAGACCGCGCCTGGCAGCCACTTTGCCTGGCCGACAGGCTGGACCGGGTGACGGTGTGGCTCTTGTCTCGAGTCTGCATTGAGACGTTTTCCTTCAGACTGGCCGCAGAGTTCGAGGAGCGACAGCGTCCAGCTGAGATAACACTGTATAGTAGCATAGAGCTGAGCAGAAGCTGCAAAGGCACCGCTTCGACTCTCCCTCCCTTTTGGGGCTGTGCTCTGAGGCGGCCTTCGCTGGGGCGGCTGGGCTCAGGAGGCGCGGTTCCGCCCGGGGCCTCAGCGCAGTGCTTCCTTCCACCAGGCGGATTCCATGTCGCATCTTTCTCTGGTGCGGTCTGAGGGCTGATGGGTCGGCAGCCCGAGGAAGGCACTCGGCTTCCGAAGCCTGACTTGCTTTCGGTCGCCCGGCTTGATGTTCATGATTAGGTTACAGGGTGTTGCACGGTGCGCGCAGCATAGGGGTCAGGAAGCATCGGATTCTCTGTCAATTTTTCTAGGATAGGCTAGGTTCGCCGGCCTGGTTTCAGATTTCCTACACCGTTGTGACCTTGCGGTTGGGGATGTAACGAAGGATGGGGCGATGGCGCTGCCAATGAGCCCCCTGCCTCAGCTTGAGGTCGCAAACAACAGGGTTGCTTCATGAAAGGTCCTCGAGTCGTCGAGCAGATGAGAGTAGGGAGCTGCAACTCGGCTGACTTCGGTGCACGCAGTGTGCTTCTACGAGGCACCATGACGTCCGGCAAGCGGCGGACGTACCCAAATCGAAGCACTTTTCAGGCCTGGTCTAAGCAAGAGATATGCAGCATCATGTGCATTTGTCGAAGTGCATGGCCGCGCTCGTGCGATGTCAAAAGCTTAGTTGTGTCGCAGTGCTTTCTAATCAGCGTGCTCTACCGGCACACCGGCTGGCGAGTGCAACCGTAGTACCTGCGAGGGTGGATGACCATTGAAAGCCAGCCATTGCTTGTCGAACCCGCATGCGATGAGATATTCAGCGGCCTCCTGATCCCGAACTATTGGTTTCACGGCTTTCGGAGCAAAGCAAACAAACTGGTGCCAGGCACATGTCTGCTGCGTGATGGATCCACTTCAGGTGCCTCACGCACGGGACCTATTTCTGACTTGCTCGTTTGGCAAGCTGCAGTGCCGGCCGGGGATGCAAGGTTCTGGAGTCCTTGCAGAAAAGCCCTCAATTCAAGTCGGTTCGGAGCTGGCCGTATGCGCATCCCGGTGGCAGCAGCACGTGCACGGTCGGCTTGAAGATAGAGCTCTGTCCCGACGGCAAGGTATCGCATCGTCTCGCCGTTTGATGGTGAGGTGTCTTGCTGCCTGTAGCAGAGAAGGGGAGTCTGCTGTCCCAAAGAGAGAAGCTACGCGGAGGTGCACATGGAGAGCGATGACGACCATGATCCGGGAGCGGGTGGCAAGATGCTCGGGTCTGCAGCCCAGGGCGGTCCTCCTTTGGAAAATACTTTACCGCATGTGAAGCAAGGATCGAGCTTCGCTTTGACGCTGAGGTTGCTCAAGCGCATGGGACTGGAGAATCTTCTCCTCATCATCTCACATTGGGACAGCGGCCGCATGTCCAAAACATCGAAGAGGCATAATGCTCGCGGTAGGTTTGACTTGACCTCCAGGCAGCAGTAACCGCTTGGGCGCAGAACTCTTCAAGTCGGGGACCTGAACCTGCAGTTTCTCGATTCATGCAACCGCAGTGGTCCAAGAGTCCAAGGTGTGTCACGGAGCAATGCAAGGACTTGCTGAAAGAACTTCAGGAGGCCTGACAGCCCCAGACGCAGCAGCTTAGCAAGGTTGGTCGCGCCCCAATACCCACTCAGGGATCAACGCTGACAAAGGGCTTATTCGTTGGTTTTCTTGTTTTCGTTTCATCTGCAAGGACTGCGTGGGTGGTCTGTTCGGGACGGGTGGGTTCACATTGCATGGTCCAGGTCTCTGTCTCGGACTGCGTGCCCATGTGCGTATCTGTGTGGGCTTCTGTCTGTTCTTTGTGCTTGTACTGTAGCAGCTGCTGTGTGGTTACTCTTGCCACAGTCCAGGCAATAACCAAAGGGGACCCGATGCAAGGGTGCGTCTCAGATGCCTAGCCTCTAAACCCTAAACCCTACGACCTCGTGGTGCAAAGCATGGTCAGATGGCAGGCAGTCCGGGCCTCCTTCCCCCCTGAGGAGCTTCTGATTGCTGGCAGGTCGGACAGCCGCAGGCTGAATGATGTTAGAATATAATATAATATATAATATAATATATAATATACAATATATAATATATAATATATAATTTAATATATAATATATAATGTATAATATATGATATATAGTTAGCTCTGGTGAAGCGTTGGCCGCCACAGTGCTGGCCTGTTCTGTTTCGTTGGTTCCTGTCCAGAGTCAGATGTTCTATTCCGTGCGGATGTAGTTGGGTCGATGGAGGTCAACCGAGCAAGAGGATGCCCCGGCACTTGAGGACCTCTACCCATCCTTGCTTTCCGAGCTGAGCATCGTGCCTGCCCTGCTGTTGAGGACGGTCAGACGCCTGGTAGCGGTGCGCCATGTTGCAAGATGCACGTTTGGACGAGCTTTGACTAGCGGTCTACCGGTAGCAGTTGTCATCGTCGTCGTGGTCAGTCGTTGTCACAGCATGACCAGTGGCTTGCTAGGAGCTTGTAGGTTCTGAGGTATACACAGCATCGGGAAAGTAGGGCCAATATGTAATGCAGATTTACAACCGTCCATTGCTATTACAGGTTGGCCATCATGTAATTGGTTCTTCCTCTACCGGACCGCTAGGCAGGTCATGGCTTTGTATGCTCTGTCTATCGCGAGGTAAACTGAAGTCTTTTCTTTATCATCATCAGGCGAGTGATGTTCACTTCACCCTCGATGGACCGTTTTGCCATGACTTGTGAGCACTGCTGTGAGATGAGGTACAGAATCCATGTTTGGCAGCGACACGTATGGAGAGACTTTCAGCGATCCGTTCCAGGCGCGGCATGGGAATCAGCATCCAGCTAGCATGGGCAGGGGAAGGCAACATCATTCTGCCGTGCGGCAGCAAAGGTTCCAGATCCGCCGTCGACATCGAGGCAAAGAGGGCACGCAGGGACGGGGGGCCATGCTTGGAGTGCGTGCTTTGAACTCTTGCAACTTCACTCAAAGGCATGTCGATCTCCGTGCCATCGGTGCGACTCCTCCTCCCGAGCTGATGTACGTGGCCTTGTCGCACTGGGGTGCCTTCTTGCGCCAGTATGCACCATTGCAAACATGCACATGCACAATTCAAGCATGTATTGCCTACATGCTTAACTTATAGGTTACAGATGTGCATGCTGCATGCGTACTTACGCACATGCTGTGTGGGTGTCATTCTTTCCCTCTCTGTCTGCCTTGTCTCTGTCTCCTTCTTTCTCTACTTCTCTCTCGCTCTCTCTTTCCCTTGCTTTTGCTCTCTCTGTCCCTCTCTCTCTCTCTCTCTCTCTCTCTCTCCCTTCCTCTCCCGCTCTCCCTCGCACAATCTGCACCGTAGATATAAGTATAAACGAATAAGAAACCAAATAGGTGAACAGAGACCCAACCATAATCAAATCAAAGTACATGCACAAGCATCTACGTATACATGCACACAGTCACATCCATAAACACTAAATGATGTCTATCCTTTTGTGCATATCATATCAGCGAGTTATCTGCTGCTTTGGTTGGGGTTTTGACGTTGCGTTGGAGGGCCCTGCGCCGGCTGCCGTTCATTGAGAATCAAGCAGACATGTTGCAAGAATCTACCTGACATGCATGTTCTAGTGTGATCGTACCTAACAATCTAGATGCCGGTATAGTAACCTAAACACCAAGATTAGATGCTACCTCTGTATTGACACTCGCACACCTGCGTACTGCATAACGCCACTATAACTTTTCAAGTATCCCCACGCAGTCACATTGCGCAGTAAGACTGGGGCGCTGTTGACAGCGTTGATATGGATGGGATCATAACCTCATGTTTCGTAGCAGTTACATAATCATAGGGGAAGCGCGCGATCGTGGTTCGGTCACGAAAAGTTGCTTAAATCCTTGAAGGTTTACGCTAATATTACCATGTTATTGTCATGAGAACCACGAACACGCAGATCTATCGGATGCCCTGCTTATGTGATACTCTGATACACAATACGACCATGCTGCGAAGCTGATCTGAAGACTGAGTAGCTACTATTGCAGAACAACAGAATTCCGTATGGAACCAATGTAACGACAAGTTGGGGATGCCAATAGCTACAGGACAATAGAGCAAAACAGTTGGGAGCAGCCATGGGGTAGTCATGTGGGACGAAGTCATCTGTATGGAACAAGACACGTGGTGCCCTAACTACCTCAGGATAACCTTGCGGAGTGTTCGGCTCTTCCTCCCAAAAGCCGCAGCAAAGCCAGGGTCTATAGGAGCAAAGATATATGAGACTTTCCACGTATGCACTGGTCTGTCCATCTGCCTGTTCGCCCCGTCTGTCCTGTCTGCGTCTGCCATGACCGTCCGTCGGTCGGTCTCGCGATCTGTTTCTTTGTGGTCTTCGCTCTGCGCTTTTTTGGGGCGCACGTGTACTGATTGTATAGAGCTTGGCGCTATCCAGATATGCTGACTATCGGTTGGAGGCTGCAGATGAATACACAAGTGCGTGTTGACTCTGTGTGTGTGTGTGTGTCTCTCTCTGTCTCTGTGTGTGTGTTGCTGTGTACATGGGCTTGAGTTCTTGCGGAAGTTTTACAGCGCTTGCTTGCTTTCTCTCGTTCGAGCCTTTGGTGAGACAACTGTTGACAGAAATTTCACTAGCATCACTAGCATGCACGAAGCTGGTTAGCGGAGGCAAGCCGGGGGGTGTGCATCCAGCAGAAGTGCCCCGCCAGATCGTCCATGCTGCATCTCTTGCTATGACATGTGATTCCGTGATGTAGAAGCGTCCTGCGGAATCGCTGGTCCTCAGTCGGCGGATGTGGCCCTCTCCGCCGAAGCGGCTGCATCCCAGCGGCAGCGCCCTCGGCTGCCGGGAGGCAAAATCCGGGACTGTGACGACCGGGGACTTTCGATGAGGTCATGCCAGCCGTGATTCCATGGGTTTCCTGGACAGAGCCTTATACGTCCGTCCGCGTAAACTTACCAGTTGGCAAGCGTTCCTCCACCAAGGTGCAGAGTGCCTGCCGGAAGGCACGGAGCCGGTGCTGCTGTCTGACGTGTTTGCTGCTCAGCCCTTCGCAACAACTTCCGCACTATCTGCTGCATTAGGGTGGCGAGCAGAACCCAACCCATGACTTCGGTGCTGCGGCAGCCTGCTTACGCGCTTGCAAGCATTGGAGGGATGCAGTGTGGAAAAGCAAAGCCGGATCAATCAGTCTCAGGTGGGACCAAAGACCAGCAACAGAGGCCTCCGCTCTCGATTCCAAACCGGTCCAGACGATACCTTGGTCAAACCCCACGATGTAAGAGGCGACGGACTGCCGATGGGTAGCGTGAAGTCCAAGCGAGACCAGGTGCTCCTCCTGTGGTATGCATATATCATATACATCTTCACACTTCGCATGGCGACAAGGCCTACACGTTCATCACGGAGGGGGACATCCCAGCACGGCTCCCGTTTGTTTGCGACAGTCTCCGAAAGGAACACATGCACAGCCTTGCGACAGTATTCGAAGCTTCAAGGAAGTTGTTGACTTCAATGGGTTATCCAACGAGGCCGCGGCTGCCCAGACCTATTCATCACATGTCAGATTTCTGCCGGATGTGGATGGCCCAGCAGACTTGCTACGACTTAGCATGCAGGAGCTGGAGAAGTTGTGCTCGCAGCTGCAGAGCGACAGGCTTGACAGATCACATGACATTCACTTGGGATTCTAATAGTAATGGCGCGATCGTAGCTATTATAATGTAGTTAGATCTATGTCTATGTTGTGTATTACCGAGTTCTACTCCGGTTGCCTTGCAGGGATGGCTTGGATTCACAGTTGCTGGGCCTCGCACACTACGAGGATGTGGGGGCCACGCTCGAGGCACCCAGGCATCTCGAAGGGTCCAGCCGCCTGAGGTCCTGAAGCCGCAGGTGGAGAAGACGAAATCTGAGAGCAAAGCTAAAGGCCTGCCGGGTTTTCGCTTTTTTTTTACATGCCTGGCCGTGGGGTGGAGACGTTCACAGCAAAGATGAAAGAGTAAGTCGTGTGCAGGCCATTCGAAAAGGCAGCGGAAGTGACCGGGGAATGAAGAAAGCTGCTGGGGTAGGCTTCATCCGCTTGACCGCTGGATGGTGGCTTGTACGATCGGGCAAAATTGTACAGGCCCGCGGCGCGGCGTAAGTGATGCCAATACGGTATCGCCCACCACCGCTGTCTCACCGAAAGAACGAAAACAAAGCTCAGGTGGAGATAGATCACCGCAGCTCCTGGTTTCCGGAAAGGAAGCCGCGTGCGTACTCCCCTACCTGCTCCTAATGTTTGGCAGCTACGGTGCGGGGAGATGAGCTCAGAAGGGAGAAAGCTCTCAGTGTGACAATCTTGCACCGGTCGCCGACCGAGGGCTTGCTTCTACTTTGCTCGCTGGCCCGAGTGCTTGGGCCTTGCCCTGTGATTTGCGTTTGCATCTTCTTCGAAGATTTCCGAGGTTGCTGGCCGGGGTACTTCGACATAATCGGACACAGCCATCAGGCCCTGCTGGCCGTAGCACATGGGGTCATGGAGAGCCAGACTTCAGACGTGGTGAGAGTTTCATTCTCGGCATCTTTCAAGAATTCAACAGGAGATGGTTAGTGTTCAGACAGGCTGTTACCACAAGATGCTGCAAGCCTCATCTAGGTAGGAGCTGCGTCGGTCATATCTGGGTTAAGAATTGACTGCTTCTTGATCGATAGGTACCTCACACCCTCATTTGTACATCATTACATGGGTTCTCGGCATTGAGGTATCATGCACTCGCAATGACGTCTGGCATTCGTCGCCATGCCTGGGCACTTGCGCGTTGCCTGCGTGCAAATGAATCCGCTTCACAATCAAGTGGAAAGGAACTGCGAGCATGCGTTGAACATGTTGAAGAAGAAGGAGCATCAGTTAAAGGGTGTGCATTTGCTTGTGCTTCCGGAGATGATCATGACTGGTTACCATTGGCGAGATGCAGACCACATCCAGCCTGTCCTTGAGGCCGCCCAAGGCCAGACACACAAATGGTGCAAGTCCGTGGCCAAAATGCTGAGCTGTGTGGTTTGCTGCGGAGTGCCTCGCCGAAAAGGGCGGAAGCGATTGAACTCCATGATTGTCACAAGCCCCCGTGGCAAAGTCGTTGAGGCCGTCGACAAGGTCCACCTCTACGAGTCGGACAAGACCTGGGCTGAGCCTGGAGATGGCTTCAAGAGCGTGGAAACCGTGGAGGGCTTGCCTGTGTCCCCGGTGGGCTTCGGAATCTGCATGGACATCAACCCAGCAGACTTCAAGGCACCGGCCGAGAAGTTTGAGTTCGCAAACTTCCACCTGCAGCACAACTCCAAGCTCTTAGTCTTCACGTCGGCCTGGTGCAAGAACCACCCGGATGACAAACCCGAGGCTTTTGCGGAGAAGTCCGACGCAGAGCTTTCGCAAGAGACCATCGATGCCTGGCTCAACCGCCTGAGACCCCTCCACGGCAAGCGCGTGATCTTCGTCTGTGCCAACCGGGTGGGTAAAGAGGAGCTCCGGCTTCTAGGCCGGGACACCGACCTCTGCAACCAGTTCTGCGGGACAAGTTGTGTAATCTCCCTCGAGGACCAGACTGTTGTGAAGCACCTCTCTGCCAGTGAAGAAGGTATACTAATAGCGGACATACCTGTTCCCTGCGGCTAACAAAAGAGACGCAAGCTTCCACTCAGTTCCTTATAATCGGCATGGATGCACTTGTTTTTGTTCGAGCGCGTGTGCCTGGACACAGTTCTGGCATCTCTTCGTGCTGATGGCTGCAGTGCGCCAGCCTGGTTGTAGGTCGCAGTGGGAAGAGATAGTCAGTCTACTCCGCCGGTTTTTTGACCCCAGTTCAAGTCGAGGTCTGTTGGCTGCAGGGATGCCGGGCGATGACCGAGATATCCATGCTCTGTGAGGCTGTGGCTGCAGGGTGTTGAACACTCCGGTTGCCGTGATTGTGATGCTGCGTTGCAGCGGCAGGTGCTTGAGGTGCCTGAAGAGGGCGTGATACTTCCATGAGCTGCTCGAATCAGCGAGCAGGCAGCAGGACATGTGAGAAAAAAGCGAGCCCAGCTACGCTGTATGGGGGCAATTTGAAGCATCTCTGTGTTCTTGCGGAATCCCTGCGGTCAGCGCCCAATGACTCCGTGCTCGGAGCCTCCTCCGTTGGGGGGGAAGTAGCCTTGGCTCTCAGAGTCGCTCCGGAGAATGAGCTTCGAGCTCACAGCCTTCCCCCTTCTGGGGATTGAGTAGGGTCCTCGGGTCCGTCACGAAGGGGGGAGGGGAAGTGCGACTCTGACATTCTGAGGCGATTTCTTTATGGATACATCTATCAGTTTCCCGAGCCTGCAGCTCAGCCTGGGGGTGCATGCGACTTAGCTCCGTGTTTGTCTTCATTCTGAGGTCATTCAAGCGTTGTTGCAAGGGGCCGCTGAAGTCACTCCTGGATTACGACGAGGGTGTCTACTGGCAGGCTGCGTGCGGATGTACAGTTAGCTTCTGCCATGAATGGCCTCGGCAGCTGTCACAGTCTCCCTGGATCAGAGGTAGCGAAGCATCTGGGCGTGGGCATCAAAGTCTTCCAGTGCTGCTCTGAGCCTTGCAAGGATGAGAGCCTTGCCGCTTTGCACATCTGCAAGGTTTGGCGTCTTGGGCTATGACCTTGTCCTGCGAAGGTCCGTAGAAGTCTTGTAGCATCTGGGTCATCACTCTGCCTGTTAAACCGCTGTTAGTTTTGGGCGCCTCACTTGTGCCAGCTGAGTGTATTTGCAGCCATGCACATGTCGTCCCTACCGGTCGGTTGCAGGTATGAAAATCTGTTTCTGTGTCTGTGTGTTCTATGCATGTGTGCTTGTGACGTGTGGTGTGGTGTCTTTCGCCCTTTTTGCAACGATCTCAGAGCCGACAGCTAGTTGGTCCTTCAGGAGCTTGTCGCTTGCTGAACCACGCCTGCTTTGCAGCGAGCCCATCGAGGTTGATTCATTTGGGGTAGAGATGACTTTGTGCTGTTTCCTGCTTTCGGTTTCCAGTCTGGCTCAAGCGAAAATGTTCGGTTCTTCGTCGCGGCTCTATGCAGGAGCCCCCGACACATGGTTGTACTACCTGTGCAAGCTGTGGAAGCCCCGTCCGAGCTTCAACCTTTCTGCTCTTTTCGAGGTCCCGACCACAAGGGAGACAAACTTAAAGCCGGCCCTATGGGACCTAAACCTATGGGACCTAAATTATGAGTCTAGGGGAGCACTACGCAAGTTCAGACAAATCCCGGCGGAATGCGCCATGGCGGTGCCGGGGTTAGCCTACGAGGGGCCGCGGAAGAGGCACCAAACTCACGGTCAGCTCTGGGCTTCTCAATACTAATACTCTTATTGCTATTATTTCCATGATTACTATTATTACCATTATTACTTGATTACACTATTATTACTATTATTACTAGTATCATTATTGCCATGCTTACGACGATTACTAATTATTATTTAATAACATTGCTACTTTAGATCCGCAACCAATGAGGCGGGCAGAGAGGAACTGGCCTTCCACCCTTTGGTGAGGCAAGGGGCTTTAGGGGTTCAGGGGCTTTAGGGATTCAGGGCTTTAGGGTTTAGGGTTTAGGGTTCAGGGGTTTAGGGATTCAGGGCTTTAGGGGTTCAGGGCTTTAGGGTTTCAGGGCTTTAGGGGGTTCAGGGGTTTAGGGATTCAGGGCCTAGGGTTTAGGGTGCCGATTCGTTGGTTACTGCTAGTGCCGGTACGCGTTTTGCCGGGACATTGAGTCTGTACTGTAGCTGCAGCCACCCTTTCTGTGTTCTCGTCATGATGTTGAGTGCAAGGCCAGAAGATGAACTTCTGGAAGCAGGCGGCAAAGCCAGCAGCGATGTCACGACATGCTAGGTTAGCCAAGCCGGGCCTTCCATTCCATCTCAGGACGCTGGAAGAAGCCTGCAAAAGAAGATGAATCCAAAGGCCGTCCGAGACCCTTTTGCTGCAAGCGTGTAGATGCAGCGTTGCCAAGCACCGGGTCGGATGAGAATACTGGCGAGGCCATCTCATCTATCTGACCGGAGCGAGGTCACTGCTGGCTCTTTGGATCCTGGGTGACCATTTCATTCACCGGGCCGCTTGATTTGCTGATCAGGTCACGAATTCAGGACGGCTGCAACAGTGCTTAGTGCTTGGGGTCACGAATGTGAATCTCGTGATCCGAGGCCAGTGTCTTCACAGACCGGTCAAACGTCGCCGTCGCTGCCTTCATTTCTTTAAGCTCCTTTTCTGAACTCTGCTCAGTCAGCTGCCAGAAGGCAACACGAATCACTGGTGGCGATCAGCAGAGCCCAACAAGCAGATGCATGCTGATTTGGTATTCGCCCATCCTGTCATCTCAATTCCTCATGATCATGTTGTGCTTTCAAGCTTGTCAGGTGGCTTCGTGACCCAATGGGCCTACAGCACCCGGGACTTCTCGCGCTTGGGTACTGTCTTCCAGTACCTGGTTAGGTGGGATGCGAAAGGGCTCAAGTCTTTTGATACTTTCTGGATCAAGCGCGTAGTCTTGAATCTGAACATCTCAGCGTCGCAGGCGCATTGGAAGAGTGGCCCTGACCACTTACTTCGCCATGCTCGCTGCTGTGGGCGTACTGGCGGTGCAGACTCACATCCCAAGCTGGAGGCCCAAGTCCGAACTTGGAAATGTCTCGAATCTGTTTCGCACTCGAAAGGCTCAGGCTAAACTCTGACAAGATAGCTCTAGACTCTCCTTACAAGTATAAGTTATAAGGGGTTCTGTGTTCGAAAAGGAACCAAAAGAACTAGACTCGCTGCTCGCTCTCAAGCTCCTCCAGCTTGACCTGACCTCACCCAATTGCCCAGTGCGCGAGACTAGACAGCAAATCTCTCAGAGCAGTGTTGCAGCAGCGTCACTGATGCTGTCTCCAGTTTGCAATCAAAAAAGACTTGGCGGAACAAGCTGTGGAGGCACATGGTCCGGTGTTTCCTCTTCGTGGAAACCTGGTTACAGCCAGAAAACTGGTGCCCCGATGGGCAAAGTTGGACCATCGCGGCTCTCCTGCCCAGCTGGTCACTGGGCCCCCGGTGTTCTTCACGGGTTCCCAATCATTATCTGCTGGTTCAGGGGGTTAGTCAGGGAGACTTGCTTAGCATCTCGTGGTGAACGCATCATACACCCATGATTTTATGGGGTCCGGTGCATGCTGTAGTGTTGATTCGTTGTTCTTCGTCGTTCGAAGTTTAGGCATGTAGGGTGCCTCACGTTGCAGCGTCTCGGGGATCGCAAGAGAATTTTCCGGCGATTATGAGTGGACCCAACTGCTCCCAGATTCTTCCAAAAACGACGGGAGGTTTGAGCTTCGAATCTTGTCAGGGGCTGCTCAGTTCAAGAGCTGCGGCGTTTGGGGATATGATTCTCAGTCCCCTCTTCGCCATCGACGAAAGGCTGCTCTACCCCTCGATGAAGCATCTGGTTGGCCTCATGGAGAAGAAGTATGGAGCCCTAGGCCTCCTGCAGCTGTTGCTTGCGCACTCCGGCGGCGCTAGTGCATATGCTTTTCGGAGGGGTGAGCAGGGGGGTGGGGAGCTTTTTCTACCCGTGCGCAGTTGCAGTCGAGGCTTTGGATGATCTCCGCCGGGCCAAGCTTGGTGGTCTTTCTTCTGCAGGACGGCTTCCTGACCAACAAGCAGCACAACCTCGCATACCTATGGCCTCCGAGCCAAATGCCGGATTTTGCAATCGGCGTGGCAGCTTGGCATGAAGCGTGTCGAGGTACCAACATGTTTGTCAGTGCCCATTCCCCCTGGCCTCAGAGCTGCAGCCATGTTCCAGGTCTTTGCACTCGTAGGCTCGTAGGGGTCTGTAGACCACTGGCACCAAGATTGCAGCAACGCTGGCCAAGCGGCACGACGCAAGCTCTGCAAAGTCAGGTGGGTGAGGGATCCAGGGTGCTGTGGTTGAGCCTACTGTGCAGCTACCGATAGTCCCATCCTTCTCGAAGCTGGCAGGGTTGCCGCCTGCCTGGCTGCGGGGTCTGCTCGCAGATCTGTCCCTGATCATCATTTTCGCTGTCGTGTGACCTGGTTGCAGTGGAGAGTGCCGGATGCAAGCAGCTGCTGCCAGGTTGATGTCACGAGAAACAGCTAGTAGTTGAAAGTGAAAATAGCTGTAGCAGTTAGAGTAGATGTTCTTTCATAGTTTCAATAGTTAGAATAGCTGTAACAGCTATTGGTAGTTATCATAGTAGTTATAATTAGTTATGATTGTTATAATCGTTTTCATGGTTTGAATAGTTAATATGTAGCCGTCGTAGCCAAAGCAGTAGGACTGCACGACAGGCTGACAGAACCTGTTCCCTGACTCGCGCCTTGCCAGGTTGTTGGTGCCCAGCTCGGGGTACCACGAGGTCGCGACATGTCAGCCGTGAGAATGCAGCCGACACGCCAAGCCACGCCCAAAAAAGGTAAAAACCCCAAACCCTAACCCCTAA